ATACAGAAAAATCCAAAAGCTGTACTGATAAAACCTTCTGATCTCGAGATCCTGAGCTCCACTGTAGGTTCCTCCACTGAGGAAAGGATAGAAAAAGTCGTAGGGCAGACTGATATCCAGATTCGGTCCACCAGCATAATAATACATCGAAGGAGCCGAGACATCATGAAACACCACATAAGTGATGACCTCTGCCCTCAGCCAGTCGACACAGCCCTCACCCCTGCATTTGCCCCACTGCAAATTGTTGACGTCCCCGAGGGTGACACCCACCCCGGCGATCTTGTAATGTTCTTCGTCATCGATTTTCGGTAAAACCGAGAACATCACGTCAATCCTGAGAGACCGCAAGACCCTGGCACAAATGATTCGGTCCCCAGACACCTCAGCGTTGGCATTATTCCGAGGGATTTTATTCAAAAGCACCTGGACCCACTGCGTGGCGTTGCCAGAGGTATTGCTGGCCTTGGATATGTGCACTTTGTACTGCTCAACCTGAGAAATATTCACCAGAGTGTCCCCAAACAATTTTCCCAGAATCTTCTCCTGTAGTTGGACACAGGATTTCGAAGAGAAATCCCTCGTTGGTAAGGAGATACTGCACCTGGACATGAGGTCCTCCCCAAAGCCCACGACAAGCTCTTCCTCGAGACATTCCCCGTCCTTTCCCCTTAGGGGAACCGTCATCACACTTCTCGTTTCATTAATTACGATTTGATCGGGAATATCAGATTTCGTGAGATTCAGCGTGGATGAGCTCCCGATGATAATCGGTCGTCCCACGACATACCCCGGGTTTCCACTCCTTTTCAGAATCCCCTGCACTCCATCAATCCACTGGTACTGCACCTGGAAATGCTGGTGATAGCTCCTGGAGACGTTTCCTGTCTCCAGGAAAATTCTGGCTTTCAAAATGCCTTTTGTTCCATTGTGATAAAAAACGTAGGTAACTCGTTTCACGACGTTGAAGCAGACGTTACCCTGGCAGGAGGCCTTCAGGGGAATCGTCCGATTGCAGGTCGAGGAGTTATCACAAAAAATCAACTCCAGAGGGACGCAGGCGTTCCTAGGGCACTGGGAGTCTCTGAAGGAATTATTTTTCATGAAGAACGAGGTGGAGATCAATGAAAAATTGAAGGTCTCAGGAAAGAGGAATTCGTTGGAGTTGGAAAGGTCACCCTGAAGACAGAGGGAGTGGAATTCCTCCAGGTACCTGAGGCTTCTTCGAGAAGAGCAGACCCCAGTGAACCCTGAGGCTGGAATGTCCACAGTTTTCACGAGTTTATTCTCATATTTTCTGAGTAGATGCCCATGGACGTGGGGGACTGTGACCTGGTGAACATGGGAGGTCTCTGGCTGTTGCCACCTGGAGGACAGGGGGCTGGTGTCGTCCTTCTCTTTGGATTGTAGAATCTCCTCGAAGTTCTTTCGGTTTTTAACTTCAATCGTCGTGATGGAGCTGTAGAATGGGGGCAAATTGTCGTGGGAGATGCAGAATAAATTATCTGCCAGTCGATCCAGGATGAAGTCGGTTCGATTTTTCTTTATGAAATCTGTTCTGTAGCAGTATCGACTGTCGTAGAGCTTCGTTGCTTGGTTGTAGTTGTGGCAGTGGGAGAAAACTGAAACCTGGTCGGGACTGCAGTCAAGGTCGCAGCAGCAATTTATGTCACAGGTCGAGGGGATCAAGTCGCAGGGGCAGGCGTTACCACCAGGACTCAGAGAGATTGGGTTTTTCCTGGCGTCTGAATCCACTGAGGGTTCAGGAGTCCCTCGAGAGGGAAAACCCTTCGATGTCGAGAAGTTCAGGAAAGTCTTCAGGCTGTCATCGTCGTAGTCTGTCAAGGAATCATTCGAGAGGGAACTATTCGTGCAGGTCTCATCGTCGCACAGTGTGGAGATTGTCGAGCTCTGCTCTATTGTCGGGGGGAAAAAATCGAGAAGCAGCAGAATTAAACAGATCCACGACATTTTTCCAGGAGATCACAGGAAGCAACCGAATTTCGTGAAGTTCTGGGATAGAATGTGAAACTCTAGGTGCACGGTTCCCACGCTTTCTGTTAGTAACTCGAATCTATCGGTGCCATTTGTCAGAAGATTTGGCGTCTTCAGCTGCAAACTCATACCAAGAAAACGATCTCTGAGACGATCCAGCCAGTTACCTAGAGTTACGAATTGAATAAAAAAGAATAAAAAGAGATATTATTAGATTATATAAAATAATAGAATTATAAAGATGAAACTGGAAGATATTTTGAATTGTTTGCTTACCGATGGGCTTCCACGTGTGACACTTGACCTGGTGGAAGCCAGGGGTTAATGGCACAGGGCAGATTCCGTAGGCGATGAACAGGATACGTCCATAATTGTCTCGACAGAATACCTGAAGCAAGAGCTTTGGAGAGCCCTGGATACACTGGGTTGAATAATGTAGATCTAGCGGATGACTCCACGTTGGTTTTCCTGTGAAGATATTCTGGCACTCCTGTGTTTGACCCTCGCTGTTCCCATTTATTACCTTCCAACCGTTCCCTGGGGATGATTAGGTCATCAAAAAAATAAATTACCATATCTCTGAATCTAAGAGAGATAACAAAATTCTTCTCAGAATCTTTTATGTAAAGTAGATCGAGGGGTACAATAAAGTTATTTGAGAAATTTCGCTATCTCTTTCAGATCTCAACATATTCATCGAAAATGTAAATTTTACCTGCATGAAAACTCCACTTGCAAAATAATGCAGTTTGATTGAAATTTTCGGCGTGTGCAATCTCACCGAAAACGTGAAGTTCTGCCATAATTCCACATCTTCATCCCTTTATTATTAATTAATTATCACCACCGGTGAGAACAAAGTGAAATAAACTATCAAAACGTTTTAAATTTCCCTCGAAAACTTACGAGCTCTTCAAAATTCTCTATTTACTACATCTGACTTTCAATATTTATCAATTAATTCTCTCACCAATAGATATCAACAATTCATTCCAGATAAACAATCCCAGTAAACAATTGTGTCGTATCAAGCCGACTAGTTATGTTTTTATGTTTTCTTAAATGTGTTGCCATGACAACGGCCAATAGAAACTCCTAGGAAACGAAAATTATTTAGTTTCTACTTTACCGAGTTCACCTGTCAAACGTGTCATTGCTTTGAGGTTATTCGGATAATCTTGAGAAAAACCACGAAAACAAACGTAATAAATGATTTATTATCCTATTCTGAAGTTTATCTCGACGATTTTATCCAATTAGAAGATAATTTATCGAATTAATCCCGGAATTTAGCACTTGCTTGTACGAGCGTGAAGCATGAAGTAATAAAAAACGGGATAGAAAGAGGAATTAATAAAGAGTTAATTAAGAATCAGGAAATATGGACATCAAGCAGAAGGTAATCGATAAATTCAACGAGGTATTCGGCGCTGACCTGAAAAACCTCGAGAACATCGAGGAATTCCACGAGAAACTGGAATCCGAGAAAAGATTAATCGAGGAGTCTCTAACGATGGCATCGTCAGAGGCTCCATCAAAAGTTAAAGCAGCAGTGGAGAACGTCGAGAGTATCAGAGCAGAATTCAAAAAACATATCGAGGAATCAACGATTCTGTCCAAAAAAATTAATGAAGTGCTGGAAGGCGACAGGAAAGCTGCTGAGGTGCAGAAGGCAGTGGACAAGATAAATGATCTGGAGAGGGCCTTGTCATACCTGAAGATCCTGAAGTGCCTGGAGGACATCAGCGAGGAGATGGAGACGTCTTTGGGAACTGGAGACGAGGAATCCATGATAACTTCTTATTGTAATCTAGTAGAAGTGAGTCGTCAGCTGCAATCGTCCTCCTGTCACAACCTCATGCACTACCTCAAGGAGATTCTTCACTTCTGGTACAACAACCTGAGAGAGAAATTCTCGAACGAGTACTTGGACGTTTT